TTTCCCTCAAGACTACTGTGGAGGGTGACAAGGTGAAGGACTTGGAAGAGATTCCTCCTCCTTGGCCAGCCCTTGCTGGCATTTCCTTACTTCAGGCCCTCCCCAGCGTTGAGCTGTGTGTCTGAGGACACCCAAGGTGGGCCACAAGAGGGCCGGAAACATTTCCCCCACAAGGGGAAGGCCTTTGAAGACACCTGGAGGTGTCAGAGAGCACCCTCTGCCTGAGGGAGCAGGCTCTTGGGGCAGCTGGGGTCTCGGGGGAGGATAGAGATGGCATCTATGAAGGAGGTCCCCATGGCCCTCCTTGGAGATTGTCCCTGGAGCTGTTCACCACCTTCAGAACCCTCCTGTTCTCCCCTATCCGGTGAGTGGGCTGGCTGGAAGCCACCGTGCAGAGCTGTACTGCCTTGATTCTTTTAAGTATGTGCCATATCTGATCATTTACCGTGTAGAATCATTGAAGTTTCTAATTCATCTGCCACCAGGAGTTCTTCTGCCTCTGTATCTGGAAGAAACAGACAGGGGTGGGAAAGAAATCACTGAAAGGCAGATTTATTTCAGGGTCTCCACCCTTCCTTTATTTCTCACCCCCATCAAAAGCAGAGGCTGTGATGCTGGAAACTGCTCCCTGCCTGGGTTCCAGGTCTGTCTCCTGGCCCTTTTTTCCCTTTAGGGGCCTGAGATTCTTGAGATATGTAGACATTCTGTAACTCTGCAATACTAATAGCAAGCTGCACATCTAACATGGTTAAGTTAGGCGAATGCCTGCATAATGTAATAAAGCCCGCATTCTTCTTCCACATTTCTGGAATCCACAGGGCTCTGGAAACCGAAAGTTTATTATCAGCTCAATTGGTGCCACAATGTCACCTTCAGTGAAATGAGTCTATTTATAGTCCTTATTTATCCCGTTTAGTATAAATATTTGGATGTGTTTGCTGTAGAAATAGTGTTGTATTTGCTTCCTAAACACCATCCAAGTATGTATTACCCTTTTAAAATTCTTTTTTAAACCATTAATAAAATAGACCTATGTATTACCTCTTTAAAACATTAGTATTCTTATTTTTTTTTTTTAAATTTGAGACAGCACCTTAAGCTATCACCCTGGGTAGAGTGCTGTGGCATCATAGCTCACAGCAACCTCTAACTCCTGGGCTTAAGTGATTCTTTTGCCTCAGCCTCCCAAGTAGCTGGGACTACAGGCACCTACCACAATGCCCGACTATTTTTTGGTTGTAGTTGTCATTATTTGGCAGGCCTGGGCCGGATTCGAACCTGCCAGCTCTGGTGTATGGAGCTGGCACCTAAGCTGCTTGAGCTACAGACGCCACCCTCAAACATTATTTTTATTATCACTTTCTTTTTGAGACATCGTTTTGCCCTGTCTCCTGGGCTAGAGTGCAGTAGTGTCATTGTAGTTCACTGCAACCTCAAACTCCTGGGCTTTAGTGGTCCTCCTACCTCAGCCTTCTGAGTAGCTGGACTATAGGTGTGCACCACTACACCCAGCTAATTTTTCTAATTTTTGTAGATAAAGGTTTCATTCTTTTTCAGGCTGGCCTTGAACTTCTGGCCTCAAAGTCGTAGGCTCAAGTGATCCTCCTGCCTTGGCCTCTTAGAATGCTAGGATGCAGACAGGAGCCACCATGCCAAGCCTATTTTTCTTTTTTCTTGGACATAGGGTCTCCCAGGCTGCTGTGCAGTGGAGCAATCATAGCTCACTATAACCTTGACTTCATGGGCACAAGCAATCCTCTTGGCTTAGCTTCCCAGGCAGTTGGGCAGATAAATGCCATTGTGCTCAGTTAATTTTTAAAATTTTTGTAGAGATACAATCTCACTCTATTGTCCATGCTGGTCTCGAACTTCTGACCTCAAGCAATCCTCCCACCTAGGCCTCTCAAAGTGCTGGGATTACAAGTGTGAGACTCTGCACTTGGCCAAAAGTTATTTTTGAAAGTTGTGGTAATATACACATGACATAAAATGTGCCATTCTACCTATTTTTAACTGTACAGTTCAGTAGCATCAAATACATTCAAATTACTGAGCAAATATCACCACCGTTCATTCACAGAATTTTTTTCATCTTGCAAAACTGCAACTATGTACCTATCAAACAATAACTCCCCACTCTACCTCCAGCCCCAGACCCTGGTGACCACTGTTCTGCTTTCCCTCTCTGTGGATTTTCCTACTCTACTCATGAGAGTAGAATCATGCAATATTTGTCCTTCTTTGACTGGATTATTTCATTAGCATAAGGGCCTTGATGTCCATTCATGTTGTAGCACATGGCAGAATTTCCTTGCTTTTAACAGGTATATAATATTCCATCATATGTACCAACCACATCTTTTGATGGAAATTTGCACACGTGTTACTGCCCCCTTTTGGCTATTGTGAGTAATGCTGCTATGAACATGGGTGCGTAAAAATCTCTTCATGTACTTGGTTTGAATTCTTTTGGTTATTTACCCAGAAATGGAATCGCTTGGTCATACCATAGTCACTGTTAAAACCTAAAGAATTCTGCATTCCACAATTCATCTAGCACTAAAGGTTTTGACCAAAGGATTGTAGACCTGCATTATGCTAATTAGGCAAATAAAACTAAACTTTTAGCCTCTTCTCCTTTCTATCCTTTTAAAAAATTCTTACGGTTAGTTTCCTTCCACAATTGACTACATCACAGAATAAAGCTAGATTTAAAATCAATATTTGCTTTTCAGAGTGAAACAGATTGTGGCAATAAAGATTTATCATCTGACTTTGTCTAATAATTGCTTTCCATTGTTTCCACTTGTTTCTTAGATGGCTACATATAAATATTACAAATTATATTTAATGAGGCATGTGAGCATATTTTAAAATGCTCAACATAATTTGGGTAAGACTTGCCAAGCAAAAAAAGATCTTAAATGGCCTCGTCTTTCCACAGCTACCTTCTACCTAGCCCATATCCTAATCTCACCACTTAACTAGCTATGTGATCTTACGCCATTTACCTAAGGATTCTATGCCTCAGTTTTTTTCATTTGTAAACTGTGAATATAATATATAAAGCCATGTAAAATTACTGGTTTTCTGTTTTTTTTTCCCTACAAAATTGGTAAAGTCATTGTTCAACCTAGGTATTAGATGGCTTGCCTGGAGGGTTTCATTTCCTCTCCAAAATGATATAGATTATACTAGAAAGTATATAACGGTTCTTTTAAAAAATTTTTATTTTATTTGTTTATTTTATTTTTTTTCCAGAGACAAGAGTCTCACTTTGTTGCCCTTGGTAGAATGCTATGGGGTCATGGCTCACAGCAACCTCCAGCTCTTGGGCTTAGGTGATCCTCTTGCCTCAGCCTCCCCAGTAGCTGCCACAACACCTGGCTATTTTTCTGTTGCAGTTTGGCCGGGGCTGAGTTCGAACCCACCACATTTGGTATATGGGGCCGGCACCCTACTCACTGAGCCACAGACACCTCCCAAAAGTATATAACAGTTCTAATATCATGGAATTCTATGCTTCTCCTACAAATTTACAATTTTGCCATAGTTCTTTTGATCTAGCATTTAATAGTTTATTCCAACTAAGGAAAGGTATTAAATATTTTAACCATGAAAAGGGAAATAATTAACCCTAAATGAGGAACATGTTTCCCCAGGGACCAAAGGCTTCAGACAGAGGCAGGTCTCTACCCTGCTGTTAATTTTCAACTAGTGCCACGATCATGCCTGGGACAGGTAGTAGTCACAGCAAGGCAATGGTGTCCCTCTGCATCTCCTCCCCAGACAGTGAGATCTCACGGCCCCGGCCAGCAGTGAGGAGGCTCACTGGACTCACCCTGTGTGACCCAGGCCTGGGATCCAAGGACAGCAGCAAGGATGAGCAAGGCGAGGGCAGACTTGGAGACCTCCATCCTTCCGGTGGGCAGTGAGAACTGGCCTGAGGACTCCTGGGCTCACTGGCTCCAGAGCTCTGCCCTTGTGTTTATAAGCCAGGAGGATCAGGAAGTCCCAGGGCAGAGGTCAGAATGCTGTTCTTTGACTACACAAGACGCTATTTCTGAAAAGGGGAACGAGGCTGAGAATGCAGCGGGAAACGGAGGGCAGAGATGACCTGGGTGTCTCAGTGGACTCCCAGAACTGTTGAGATGTGTACAGGCAAAAGGAGTAAATATTTTAAGCAGGATCCTTACCTCTAGGAGATTCATTAATGTTCTAAATCAGAGGAGTTTTTCCCTCTGGAGGTAATCACTTTCTGGTGTCCAAGTAGCCTGTAAACATGGGGACCCCAGAGAGTGCTCTCTAACTTGTACCCCTGGCTATGTGATTCCTTGCAGGGTCTGGGGGTATCTTTGATTCTTCTTTTTGTCTCAGATCCCTTGTCTAATTCATTAATCAGTGCTTTGGGCTCTACATCCAAAAACTCAAGCAGAATCGTATTATTCTTCGAGAGGAAAACTCTTGCTTCCTCTCTACTCCACTACTATCCTCGTACTTCACTCCTGACACTAGCCACCCCAGGCTAGCACAGACCCCACAGGCTAAGGGCTCAGTCCCCACAAGGCTGTCTCCACTGCAGATGCCAGCTGCAAATAGGGGGTCCCAGATTACCCACCACTTCTGTCCAACTTGGCAGCAAATTAGAAGTTATTACCATGGCCCCCTCCTCAGGTTCTTGCATTTATTTGCTAGAAAAGCTCAGAGAACTCGGAACAGTTTACTTACTAGAGTACCACCTTATTATACAGGGCCCAACTCAGGAACAGCCCGGTCAAAGAGATACCTGGGGCGTGGTCTGGGGAAGGGGCACAGAGCTTCTGGGCCCTCTCCAGCACCTCCCTGTGTTCATCAACTGAGAAGCTCTCTGAACCCCATCTTTTTGGGTTTTTATAGAGGCTTTGTTACAGAAGCATGATTGATTAAATCATCGGCCATTGGCTATCAAATTGATCTCTAGCCCCTCTTTTCCTCCCTGAGACTTATGGTGTAGGGCTGAAGCCCTAATCCCAATGTCACTCCCCTGGAAACCAGCCCTCATCTTCCCAAAAGTCACCTCATTAACATCAGTTCAGGTGTGGTCAGGAGTACTCGTCCAGTACTTCCAGCTTGTACGTGCCCGATAGACTACAGTAAGGAGGGGACATTGTGACTCAAATGTCCTGATGCTTGCCCCACGCTCCCTGGCAGTATTCCAGGATAGTGAAGCATACGTGTGTGTACCAAAAACATGCCGTGTGAGTGGGTATCACGGGTTGTGGTCAGAGCTGACCACAGGCATCTTACATCTCAGCATCAGAGAATTCCTAGGGCAGGAAAAGAGGGGGGTGCATGCTGGCCAATGTGAAGTGAGGTGAGATTATACCCATGTGAAGCTGGGCAAAGCCTGCACACAGCTGGTGCTGTAGTGATGGCTAGAATAAGAGATGGGGCTGATGGGATGGAGCGGTGTGCAGAGTTTCTGACACAGTATTAAATGCCTATTTGCCCAGTGAAAGAAAACAGGGAAACAAATTTCAGAACATTCATCAACCCGTGTGTTGATTTTGCTACACTTGGCCGTTTCTTGCCCTCTCCAATATAGAAAACACTTGGAGAGTGGTGTCCGCGTGCTTCCCCAGTTTTGTGTTACCTCTCCCCCCCACCCCAAGCATCCTTGGTGATATTTAGGAATCAGATGAGCTGGCTTGGCGCCTGTAGCTCAGCGGCTAAGGCGCCAGCCACATGTACCAGAACTGGCGGGTTTGAATCCAGCCCGAACCTGCCAAACAACAATGACAACTACAACATCAACAACACCTGGGCGCCTGGATTCCCAGCTACTTGGGGGGCTGAGGCAAGATGATCGCTGAAGCCCAAGACTTTGAGGTTGCTGTGAGCTATGACACCATGGCACTCTGTTCAGGGCAACGTAGTGAGACTCTGTCTCAAAAAAGAAAAAAAAAAAAGAATCAGATAAGCTCTATTTATCCCTTAGCTTGGCATAACCAAGGGAGCAGGCAGGCTGTGCTCTCCATAGGGCTTCTCTGGCAGGCTGGTAAAAACAACAGCTGTATCTTGGACCTGGGGCTTTGCTGGCAGCATTTCTCAACTGCCCCTGCAGTGTTTACTGTAATCATTTCACAATATTACCTAGCACACCCCGTGACTTCTTCCCTTACAGAAATAGCAAATATCCTGTCATGTCTGTAAACACAGCTCTGACCACATCCCATGATACGCACTCGCACGGCACGTTTCTGGTACACACACGTATGCTTCGCTATCCTGGAATACTGCCAGGGAGCGTGGGGGCAAGCATCAGGACATTTGAGTCACAATGTCCCCACCTTACCTATTTTCTTTCTTTCTTAGCCTATTTTCTTCCTCAGTCCCGCACTCAGTCTGCAGAAATGTTCTTGATTTCACCTCTCACTCCTTTCTCACTGGTCCAATGCACGGTGTGGCCGTATCCCCAGCTGCTCACACAGCCTGAGAAGGGCTGTCCCAAGTACAGCTCCCTTCAGCGGAAAAAGGCCTGAAGTTGTGGTTCTCCTCTGCATAGGGTGCTGTCTTGAGTTTCCAAGTGAGACCATCCCAGGCACTTGACCTCATCTGGCGGACAAGGGATGGTGTAGAAGCCTGCCTGCTCACTTTGCTTCCTTCCTTCCTCCTTTTGTTTCTTGTCTCACTTCGTCACCCTTGGTAGAGTGCCGTGGCGTCACAGCTCATGGCAACCTCAAACTCTTGGGCTTAAGCGATTCTCTTGCCTGAGCCTCCCAAATAGCTGGGACTCTAGGCGCCCACCCAAATGCTCGGCTATTTTTTTCTTGCAGTTGTTTAGCTGGCCTGGGCTGGATTTGAACCCGCCACCTCGTATATGTGACTGGTGCCATAACCACTGTGCTACGAGTGCTGAGCCTAAAAACCAGATTTCAAGGACTTGGATAAGCCAGCCTCACAGAGAAAAGAGAAATAATAAAGCACGCTGGCAACACTCCCCAGCCGCTCCTGTTATCGGTCTGTTAAAGCAGAGAAAAAAAGAGCAATTTTAGAATGGAGCCTATGGCTCAAGGAGTAAGGTACTGGCCCCATATAGCAGAGGTGGTGGGTTCAAACCCAGCCTTGGCCAAAAAAAAAGAAAAAGAGTCATTTTACCCTTTAAAAACCCTGAGCCCCTTCTCCTTTATTCCTTTCCTGTGCTCCTTCCTTCCTATTCTCCTCCCTCTGTCCCTTCCTTCGTTCAAAAAGAGTAAAATAAACTTTTGCTACTTCCTATTCTACCCCCGGTGTGTGAAATCTTCCTCCAGCCCACACTGTGAGCTTCTCATGAGTCCCCACCCTCACAAGATGATTCTTGATGACACACACACCCACAACAACTTTGTCACTGAGCACAAAGGCACCTGTGTCTCTGGGAATATGGCACTCAGGGCTGGCCCAGCACAGCTTGTAACTGTAAACATCCACTGTTGTGATGGACACTCTTCATGTCCCAAGGAAAAATGCTTCTCTACTTCTCCTGGTCTAAGCCCTTTGAATGAAACACTCCTGAGTACAAATGCCCTGAAGGTCTCTGGGGGGTGCCCCTGCTGACACTGGGGACAGACTCTCCTCTGGGCTACAGGGAGGAGTTGGGCTGCAGGAGCGTTTAGAAGCTTGGGAAGGTAAGTCGATTAACTTGCCAAAATCTTTCCTCTGAGATAGCATGAACCCAATACAGTGGTTACCCCTTGTATCTGCATTTCCCCTTTTCATGGTTTCAGTTGCCCATAGTCAATCACAGCCCCAAAATATTAAATGGAAAATTCCAGAAATAATTCATGTTTTAAATTGTGCACTGTTCTGTGTAGGATGATCAAACCTCACACCATCCCCAGCCCACCTGGAACCAGTACCATCTCCTTGTCCAGTGTGCCCACCTGTTAGCCACTTAGTAGTTACCTTGGCTATCACCTTGACTGTTGTGATATTGCAGTGCTTATATTTATTATTTTTCTTAGGAATAGCCCCCGAATGCAAGAGTGATGATGCTGTCAGTTTGGATAAGCCAAAGAGAACTGGAAAGTGCTTCTTTTGAGTGAAAAGTGAAAAGTTCTCAATAAGGAAAGAAGGAAAATTATACACTGAAGTTGCTAAGATCTACCATAAGAATGAATTTCTATCCAGAAAATTGTGAAGAATGTAAAAGAGCCCTGGCACAGTGACGCATGGCTATAATCCTAGCACTCTGGGAGGCTGAGATAAGAGAATTGCTTGGGCCCAGGAGTTCAAGACCAGCTTGAGAAAAGTATTGAGGCCCTATCTCCATAAAAAATACAAAAAAATTAGGCAGGCATGGTGGTGCTCACCTGTAGTCCCAGCTACTCAGGAGGCTGAGGCAGGAGGATTGCTTGATCCCAGCAGTTTGAGGCTGCAGTGAGCTATGATGATGACACTGTACTCTAGCCTGGGCAACAGAGCAAGACCCTGTATCAGGAAAAAAAAAGAGAGAGAGAGAGAGAATCAAAGAAAAGGAAAGAAAGTGAAATTCATGATCGTACAAAGGTCAGTCCTATTTGAGGTTTCAGGCATCTACTAGGAGGGGTCTTGAAATGTATCCCCTCTAGATAAGTGAGGACCCTTTATAGGCAATAAATACATAGTGGCACATGGTTGCAATATTGAGCAATTCATTTTACTCTTAAATGTGTTAGTTAACTTCACTTGTGAGTTTAAAATATTGGCACACCTGACACCCAATTCCTTTTGGATTCTTGGGTTGGGCCCTGTAAATGCCAGGGGAAGGCCTAATGATGACCTAAAGAGATAGTGTGGCTGGTGAGGAGAGTCCCTGGGCCACATCACCTCCCAGATGTCCTTATCAGTCCTTACCATAAAATTGGAAGTAATCATGTGTACTTCTTCCTTGGGCATGATCTTAAACGGCCTATTGCATGAGAGAACCTTTCTTCTTAAGTAATCAGGCCAATCACGGAGCCTACCAACTCATCTTCTTGTTTCGCTTATGTCTGTTAAGACTGGATTCAGGCCCTGCTTAGAGACACAAAACAAATCCAAACAATATCCACTTGAAGAGGCCCATAGGAAAAGTCTGTGCTATGCCATACAATTGAAACTGCTCTGGGGTTGCAAAGAGATGGGATCCCTTTAATATAGCCTGACCATTGCTGTTTACCAGCTGCTATATTTGTCTTTGGTGATACCAAGTCAAATAAAGAGGTTTCGATTTTGCGCCAAACAGTTCTCCAACTGTTTATTTGAAATTAGGTCTTGGTTTAATTATTGAACTCGTTCTTTTCTTTGGTAGATAGTTTGCAAAAACGGGTGCAACGATTTCTACCAATGAGTGTGCATGCCCTTGGAAAGTTCCTTCCCATACTGAGTCTGTCTTGGCTATGTGATTCTTACTGGCCAATGAGACAATTAAAAATGTGATGAAAACAGAGACTTGAAAAGTGATGGTGTGGTGAGACTTGCACTATTTTGCTGCTGGGAAGCTTTATACCCTGTGTGCCAGCCCATGCTAATCTCCCAAAGGAGGAGAAAAAGATGCCCAGATAGACGTCCCAGCTGTCCCTGCTGAGAGGTCTTCCTAGACCATCAAACCTAGCTGAGCTGAACTCTCCATTCAACCCACAGAATTGTGAAAATTTATAGGTGTTTGTTTTTATAAGCCCCTACGTGGGGGTGATTCGTTATACAGTAAAAGCTATCTGATAACCCTCTGTTGGGGCCATGAGAATGGACTTATTTTCTTTATACGTTTGGTGAAAGCAAAAGTAATAGCTCCTAATTCAAGAAGAGGCTCTTTGGTTTTAAGTAAACTAAATCCTTGTCACAGAAGCACTATATAAATACTAGCAAAGATACTTTACCCTAGTTAGGGTAGAGACAGAGGACCGAGAAGGTTCTGCCATCCAGAGCTGTGGAGCCTTTGTGTCCTACGAGGATTTCAGAGGAGGATGGAATAAACCCCTTTGGATTGGGATGATGAGATCAATTTATGGAAGGGATAGCATTTGACGAGGGTCTTAAAAATTGGACAGAGAAAAGAAGAAGACTTCAGTCAGACGTAAGTGCAAAAAATAGGACTGGCAAATAGTTGCAGTGAGATACGGGCTACTTACTGTTTTATAATTTTGTAAGTATCTTTTCATTAAATCCTAACTACAGTCTTGTGAAATAGGCACAATCCTTATCTCTTTCTCTAGACAAGGCTATGGAGACATAAAGCAGTGAAGTAATTTGCTAGAGTCTGCTATGCGCCCTCACAGCTTAGGGAAGGGCAGAGCTGGGATTTGTTGTTTTGGTTTTGTTTTGTTTTCAGACAGAGGCTCACTTTGTCATCCTCGATGGAGTGCAGTGGCATCATAGCTCACAGCAACTTTAAACTCTTGGGCTCAAGTGATTCTCTTGTCTCAGACTCCTGAGTAGCTGGGACTACAGGGGCCTGCCACAACGCCCGGCTATTTTTAGGGGACAGGGTCCCGCTCTGGCTCAGGCTGGTCTTGAACTCCTGAGCTCAAGCAATCCACCTGCCTTGGCCTCCCAGAGTGCTAGGATTACAGGTACGAGCCACTGCACCTGGTCCAGAGCTGGGATTTGAACCAAGGTCTCTCTTATACTAGAGCTCACCATTGAAGACAAAAGCATGGGAAATGATAACATTTGATGCATATTTTGGGTGTGTCTTATGTAAATAAGCATACTCACTAGCATTTTTAATTAAATGTTTTATTTTGAGATAATTACAGATTTACATGCTGTTATAAGAAATAATACAGAGAGATCCCATGTAGTGTACCCTTGACCCAGTAAAAAAAGTTGAATGGCTCATTCAATTAGGTCATCTTTGTCATGCCCATCTGAAACAGAGCTGAGAGGCCAGGGGGAAACCCATTCAGGGTATATGAACATTGCTCCAAGAATTTAACTCTCTGCAAGCCCAGCTGCTCAAACCTGAAACCAGTTTTATCCAATAGCTACTGAAACAGCCCAGTGCAACTCAAAGACTAATTTTACCCACTGCCTTCGCTCACCAGGCAGAACTTGCCAGTTCCTCAAAACTTCACTAGTACCAATGAACTTTCTCAAAGAGTGATATATATCGTTTCTCTTTTTAAGACAAACTCTAACCTTCTCTTTGTTCTTTGGACACACTGAAGACCACCCAGTGAGTGTATATGATCCCAACTGCAATTCTTGCTTCCCAAATAAAACATTTTTAATTTAGAGATTCATCTTTATATTTTGACTCCACACCAGTTTCTTCCAATGGTAAGATCTTGCAAAACTACAGTACAATATAATAGGTGACATTGACATTGATACAATCAAGATGTGAACTAGTTACTTCACCACAAGGACCCTTCCTGTAGCCTTTCACGGCCATACCTTCCTCCTACTCCAGCCCTTCCTCAATTCCTGGCAACCACTAAACTGTTCTCCGTTTCCATAGTTTTGTCATTATAAAAACGTTATATAAAGGGACATCACTTTTTAGTGAAAGATAGCTTTCTTTCTTTCTTTTTTTTTTTTTTTTGAGACTAAGTCTCACTATTTTACCCTCAATAGAGTGCTGTGTTGTCACAGCTCACAGTAACCTCCAACTCTTGGGCTCAAGTGATTCTCTTGCCTCAGCCTCCTAAGTAGCTGGGACTACAGGTGTCTGCCACAACGCCGTGCTAATTTTTGGTTATAGTTGTCATTGTTGTTTGGCAGGCCTGGGCTGAGTTCGAACCCGCCAGCTCCGGTGTATGTGGTTGGTGCCCTAGCCACTGAGCTACAGGTGCCGAGTCAAAAGGGAGCTTTCTTCATAAACTAACAAAAAAAGATAAACTATCAAATGGAAAATAAGAGAAATAAATTCATAGCACATAATGGCCCCTTGAAGGAGAAATTCACAACACAACTGCCCTTGATTTTGTTTTGAACAAACACCTGCCTCTTCAAAGCCTAACTTGTTATTTTTAAGAGTTTGTTTCTCAGCCTTACCTGGGAAAGAAATCTCCATGGCCCTGGCAAGAGTACAGCCATTCTGGGAGACAGCTGGTGGGAAAAAGCAGGCCAGAAACCAAACTGTGTCCACCCTCTGGAATGCTTCAAGGCTGGTGTTCCTGGGAAACAACAGAACAGTTAACTTTTATTCTGGCCCCAGCTGGTAGCCAATTGAGGGAGCAACTCCTAGATTTGCCCTATGCAAAAATTAGTTTCTTCGACTCCCTCTAGGGACCCCCTTCTACATTCAACTCTACAGATAAGGGATAAAAGAAGCCTGTGTGTAAGAGCTGAGCTGACTCTTAGTCAGACTGCACTCTGCTCTTTTTCTGCCTTTTTCTGATAAAGCCTTCCCACGAACACTACCCCCCATCCTAAAGAACCCTAAGCAGACAGTAGTAATGTGAACTCCTCAACTCCAGCTCTTCCAGGACCACATTTCAAGGACCCTGATAAGCCAGCCTCCCAGAGAAAAGACAAAAAGAAAGAAAAACAGATGTCACCACTCCTGTTAATCAGTCTGAAGCAGAGAAGGGGGGAAAAGCCATTTTGCCCTTTAAAAGGCTGAGCAACTTTTCCTCAGCTGCCGACACTATTCCCCGCCTTCTCAGTGCTGGGTCATCTGCTTTCTCTCTTTCTCTCTTGAGAAAGTAAAATAAACCTTTTACTGCCTTTTAGTTTAATCTTCATGTAAAACAATCTTTATCTGTGCTCTGAACTCACGGGTCCCCACCCTAATGCTCTGGAGTGGCTCCCACCCCCCACTCCCAGTCTAAATTCTCTGGAGATTCATTCAGGTTTTTTGGGGGGTTTTTTGTTTTTGTTTATTTTTTTATCAACAGTTCATTCCTATTGCTGAGTAGTGTATGGCTGTACCATGGTTTGGTCAATCATTTATCCATTGAAGGACATCTGGGTGTTTCCAGTTTGGGGCTGTTACAAGTAAGGCTGCAATTAGTGTTCATGCGCTATTTTTTTGTGGGAAAGTAAGTCTTCATTCCTCCAGAGTAGATGCTCAAGAGTGCAAGTAACATTTTGCAGGGTTATCAATATCAATACTTTAGAACAGTGATTTTCAGCTGGTGTGCTGTGAAAATTTTTAGAGATCACTAATTAAATTATTTTGGAAAGAATTTCTAAGTACAGTAAATATATTATTATTTTTTTTTTTTGAGACAGCGTCTCACTTTGGTGAGTGCCATGGCCTTGTAACTTACAGCAACCTCAAACTCTTGGGCTCAAGCAATCCTCTTATCTCAGCCTCCCCAGTAGCGGGGAATATAGCCGCAGGCCACAATGCCTGGCTATTTTTAGAGATATGGTCTCACTCTTGCTCAGGCTGATCTCAAACTCCTATACTCAAGCAATCCACCCACCTTGGCCTCCCAGAGTGCTAGGTTTACAAGTGGGAGCTACCGTGCCTGGGCCCAGTATAGTCTTTTTTTTTTTTTTTTTTTTTAAGTGTACAGTGGAAGTTTAACTGGAGGTTCAAGTGTGCTGTGAGATAAAAGAGGTTGAAAAATGCTGCTTTAGAGCAGTTCTTGACTGAGAGTTTTTTTTTTTTTTTTAAGTCAAGTAGGCGGCATGTGTTTGTTTTTTCAGTATCCCCTTTTCTTCTGGAAAGATGCTCCTTCCCTGAGGGACCCACTCTGCCTATTTAGCTGTTAGGTTCTTTCGATGGGGAAAGGGGGTCTTGCCAAACACACTATCTGCTCTTTCGTCATAGCTATGGATCCACCCCCCTGGACAGAATTGGATCCCCCAGAAACTTTCAGAATACAAGAAAGAGAAGAGCAGCGAGCGGTTCCCTCAGGAGGTGAAGGTTCTCTGAGGGTGGAACCCTGATTAAGTGCCTGCCTTTCTAGCTGCGGATATGAGTCAAGAAATGATTCCTGGTTTTCCTTTTGAAGGAGGTTTTGAGGTTTACTCAAAGTGAAGGATCTTCCATTCCCCGCCCCGGGACTCCTTCTCGGTTCCTGCTCAGAGTTCTGCTTCTCGCCTCCTCCAGGCCCGCGATCCTGACCATCGGAGGCCCAGTGAAACCGCTGGGGTTGCTGACATGGCCACAGGGCCACCCTGCGTGCTTCCTCCGACGCTCTTGCCGGGAATCCACACCGAGGCCTGGAGCACCCTGGCTTCCCTGGGGGGTAGAGGGGAGCCCAGAGGGCTGAGAGTCCGAGCAAAGCTTTGGGAAAGACCAGAATTCAGCACCATATGTGACAGCGGAGAGAAAGTGGGCCGGGTTGGATTCGGGGTGGGGAGCTTCCCGGGCCGGCAGAGGGAGGAGAGCGGGTAGGAGCGCCCTGAATGGGGTGTGGTGTGCCTTGACCTCTGGATCAGGGCTGGCGTCACGTTCATGTGGCCTCTGCGGTCACACAAGGCCTTGCTCTGCTTTTTGTGCTCTGCTGTCATTGTTTTGAAATTAATAACGTTTGAACAATGAGCCCTGTGTGTTCCTTTGCTCCGGGTTCTCCCCTAGGCCGTGCGCGGTGGGGAATCCAGGCCCTGCGGAGGCGGCGCAGATGCGCAGTGCCCTTTGCGTGATCATGCTGAGGAACAAGAGGCTGAGGACTAAGAGTTGAACCTCCATTCAGGTTCCTACCTTCCTTATAGAATCCTGGAAGCTTCGGGAATAGGGCAAGTCATCTTTTGGAGGGATCGTTCCTTATTCTGCGGAACCCAGACACACCTGAGCCAGCAGACGCCTCAGTGAGTCATGTGATCCTTTCAGGGAGCTCCTCCCCTTGGTCTTGTCCCCAGACTGGGCCCCTCTTTACCCGCTGGGGCCACCTCTGCCCCCTCCCTGGAAAGTACCCAGCCCTGTCCATCGTTGACAGGCCCTGCTTCTTTTATTTACCTGCTGAAGTCAGTGGTTGGAATCCAAGTTTGCCTGACTCTAAAGCCTGTGATTGTCCTCTGAAGACCTTGCTATTCTTGATACACCAATAATTATTTTCACAATAGTGACCATTTATTGAGTTCTTACTTATGGGCAGGTTGGGAGCAGGCCGTGATAAGTAAGGCATTAGCCTTGGGTGTAAAACTGAAGAGGACGCCAGGAGACTCAGTACTCAAGTAATACTCTAATGAAATATTTTAAAAATAAAACTTACTGCCTCCTAAATTCACAATGAATAAAATATTAAATAAAGACAGGATCAATAAAACTGCTATTCCAGGGCATTGTGGCCGGCACCTGTAGTCCCAGCTACTGGGGAAGCTGAGGCAAGAGAATCACTTGAGCCCAAGAGTTTGAGGTTGCTGTGAGCTGTGATACCACGGCACTCTGCCAAGGATGACAAAATGAGACTCTGTCTCAAAAAAGAAAAAAAAGAGGGCTGTGCCAAGCCATAGTAGAACTCAGGGCAAAAGGAAAAATTAGTGAGAGCCTCTTGATAGACTATTTGTCCATGCATCCAACTATGTAATATGTATTTACTGTGGTCTACATGGCAGTCATTTTGCTCAGCACGGAGAATGCCACATAGAAATCCAAAAATAGTACATTTATTTTCTCCTGGACACAACCATGAAATAATTCCATATATGCATATACACAGTAATAAGCAACACAATGAGAAAGAATATATCAGGGACTCTCTGAGAAGGCAGCATTTAAACTATAAAATAAGCAGTGTTAGCTAAGTTGAAAAGTGAGGAAAAGGGCAACATAGGTAACAGGAATAGTCTGTGCAAAGGTCCTGAGGCAGGAATTCCTAGGAACTGATTGGTATTAACAGACAACTAGAAAAATCGTGGGTCTTGTCTTGAGTTTTATCCAGAGGCAGAGGAAGAACCAGCCTTTAGAATTAATTAAAGACACAGAGGGAGATCAAAACTAAAGCTTCTATATAATTTGCTCCCAAAGTTGTCCTTGTTCAAGGAATTGGTAACATATACACAGAGGGCTCTGAGCTGTGGCCATCCCAGGGATCTGTCTCTCTTCCTGGGAGGGGAGTGTGAGACTCATGCCAAAAGCTTAGCTGTGGTTCTCAGGGTAGGCTTCTCTAGGGCTACACTACATGGAGAGGCCCCTTTGAAGCCCCTCAGGTCCTTGGCTCATTTCCTTTAAAGCATGGCCAGGTTAGCTCTGGACCAGCATCACCTGCAGTAACCACCAGCAGACCTGTTGCCTTCCTATCAAGCTTATCTTCCCACCCAGACCTTCACCTGCCCTAGTCTTTACCAACAGACTTCCTGTATCTGGGCCTCTGGAGGCTTAAAGAGGAACAGAACAGAATCCATGACTCATCCAGCCCATCCCTGGGCTGGGTCTTCTCCGACCTTTAGATAACCACCTCCTTTCAGTCAAAAGTAGAATACTTCTCTTGTTAAAAAAAAAACACAGGCTTGGATTATTGCTTCTGCTTTCCACAAAGCCATAGAGTAAAAGCCAAACCGTAGGATCTGGAGAGGAGGGACAAATTTTATGATCACACTTTTCCTTTGGCTGCCAGGCAGGATTTGGGGAAGAAGGACCCTGTTATGGGACAGCCCCCCACCCCCAGCTCTGCCTTCAGGGAGCTGGACAAAATATGGTGGCTGCCTGGATGTGGGAGAGGCCCACTGCACGGGCCCTGCCCCTGGGTTAACTCCAGTTGGGGTGGGGATTTACAAAATGTCCTTGAGTCTCTGCCCCATCAGGCAATGAGGGACAGAAGGTAAGTAAGCAGCCCCCTCGTGCCCTCACACCATGCACCATCAGTAAGTTGGTTCTTTCTAAAGATTCTCCGTAACTATTGCCTCTTCTCCATTTGCACTGCTCCTGCTTTAGTCCAATCTCTCACCTGGGCCACTGCAATGGTCTCCTGATTGGTCTCCTTGCTGTCATTCTCCATCCCGAAGTCAGAGTGAGTTTCCTAAATCCCACGTCAGGCCATGTCAGTCTGCTGACAACCTCAGACCACACGCCATTGTCTGTGTCCTCCCAACCACGCTGGTCTTCTTGGTGGAGGAATACACCAGGATTGTGTCAACCCCTGGGCCTTTGGCATCACTGGTTTCCCTGCCTGGACACTTCCTTCCTCTGGGTAGTGTTATGGTTGGATAATCTTCTCCTGTTTTAGGGCTCAGGCCAATGTAACGTTTGCAGAGTAGCCTTCCCTGACCTTTCCTAAAGAAGCCACATATCCCAGCCTGCTCAGGGTTTTTCAAAGCACTGGGTATCATCAGAAATTACCTCATTTACTTGTTCACTTGAGGACCAGCTCCATCCTCCCAACCCTGGAAGGTGAGGTCCTGAAGGCAGGGACTGGGCTTGGCTGGAGTACCCTAGTATCTCCAGCACCTGGAGCAGGGCCTGGAAAATGTGGAATGAGGCTTCACAGTGTGTGGGCCATCAGAGGAGGCAGGGATGGGCCTCTTTGGGCAGGGAGGGCAGGGAGATTTCGGAGATGTAGCATTTGAAAGAGATTTTGAAAAGCAGACAGAGAAGCTGTGAAGTTGCCAGCTGCAGAGATGGAAGGAAACACAGGATCTCTTTCAAATTCTGCAACTTCTCTGAAATCTCACGGTCTCCATCCCATTGATTCTAATGAATGAAGTAAAGCTCACAGAATGGTGGGCTTGGAGCACACCTTACGGGTTAGGTAGATAATAATGTATCATCTCCCTGTAGAGGATCCTCTAAGATTTAGTATTTATTGGTGTCCTCATTTATATCTGGAAAAGACTAGGTGGCAGTAAGGCTAAGCCACTCTGTAGGAAACTGTCCCCAATGATGGAGGAGTGCTGCCTTTCACTCGAATGAGAAACAGACCTAAAGCTAAAACACTAAATTCCCAGATCTGCCTTTTGTCCTGTTGCTCATCTCAATCCCACCAGGAACATCACTCTTGCTTGACCCAACCCATCATCCTTTTTTGTAGGAGAAAAAAAATAAGGATCTTTATTGGAAGGCCTTAAAAATAATGTCACGCCCATCTTGGAACTTGTAGCTCATTCCTGCAATGATGACAATTACAACAAAAAAATAGCCAGGTGTTGTGGCAGGCACCTATAGTCCCAGCTGCTTGGGAGGCTGAGGCAAGAGAATTGCTTAAGCCCAAGAGTTTGAGGTTTCTGTGAGCTGTGACGCCACTGTACTCTACTGAGGATGACATAGTGAGACTCTGTCTCAAAAAAAAAAAAAAAAAAAAGAAAAGAAAAAGAATATGTCACTCCAAAATAGTTTGCTCGGGCATATTGACTATTTTGAATTAAAGGCACTCAGAACAACTGCAGGTGCTGAGAGAGGATATCTGGGGAGAATGTAGTCTGACTTGAAAAAAAAAACACAGGGTGGTGCCTGTGGCTCAAAGGAGAAGGGCGCCGGCCCCATATACCAGAGGTGGCAGGTTCAAACCTGGCCCCGGCCAAAAACTGAAAAAAAAAAACCCCAAAACACAACAAAAGCCCTCTCACAGAAGCCCAAGGACACACCCAGAAGGTCCTCCCATGGTAACTCGGGTCTTAAGAATTTATAAAACTCAGCTTCCTGGGTCCTTGAAACTAACGCTTGATGCTTGTTTCCACTTCTGTAAACCCTGCACGTGATCTGAGAGGTAACATGGTAATTCCTTTGTCTCCTCGTGAGTCTAGCAAAAAGGACAGGGACAGATCAAGAAGCTTGGCCATTTTGGATTCTAGTCTGTTGTGGCTCCTGCTGGCTGAAATAAAACCTCCTCCTCTTTTATCATCGGGTTTGGGTGACTCCTCTCTGCTTTCTCTCCACTGGGCCTCGATTCCTGCAACAGTGCAGGATCATTTTAAACTTCTGTTTCTTTTTTTTATTTCTTTTTTGAGACAGAGCCTCAAGCTATCCCTGGGTAGAGTGCCCTGGCATCACAGCTCACAGTAACCTCCAACTCCTGGGCTCAAGCGAGTTTCCTGCCTCAGCCTCCCAAGTAGCTGGGACCACAGGTGCCCACCACAACGCCCGGCTATTTTTTGGTTGCAGCCATCATTGTTGTTTGGTGGGCCCGGGCTGGATTTGTACCCGCCACCTTGGGTGTTCGTGGTTGGCGCCTTAGCCACTTGAGCCACAGGCACCGAGCCTTCATTCTGTTTCTTAACAGCAGAAGATGAATTTCCCACGCGAAAGATATTCTCCTTATACTAAAAGGAGAGTAACATTCTTATCATGGAAGATGGGAAGTTGAAGCTGAGGGAAATGTGTACAAACAAGCCTTGTTCAGTGAGCCCTCATGGTCCTACATACTTCTCCACCCAGTTCACTCCCCGAGCCCACGCCCCTTTGCCTTAGCACGTTTTGCCACTTACTATTTTTTGTCCAATTCAGTATATAAGTAACTGACTGTTTCTTTGCATTTTAATTTCTTTATGAGGGCTCTCATGTCACATAAAACTTGCATGAAATACAATAAATAAATTTGTGTGCTTTTCTCCCATTAATCTACATTAATTTAATTCTTGAGCTCAGCTGGGACCCTGAGAGGAGGGAGG